ACAGAGAGAGAGAGAGAGAGAGAGAGAGAGAGAGAGAATGCGGTCTTCAGAAGAGTGCCATGCTAGTGGGTATTTTGAAATTAGCTTATGTTAATTTTTTTATTGAAGTGGGTGCTTAGGTGCTTGATCATATGGGTATTGTAGAGAATTTGTAATTTCTAACTTCATATCTTTGATTATTACTATTATTATTATTATTATTATTTTAAGAAACATAGTTTACAAGTCAATTGTTATGATTTTAAGAGCAAATTCTTGTGATAGGTGGTATGTTTTCTGTAATTGTTCTAATTATGGGTTGTAAGTGCTTATTTAGGACTGCATTTTACAGGACAAACAAATGAAAGTGAAATGTCTTTCAGCAGTTTGTTTGCAGTGACGGCTTTGTTTATTGTATTATACGATAAATTTTCTCGTATGAGGGGAATATCTCCTTCAAGAATGAACTTTATTCTCGGGTCGAATATTCCAGTTTTTACCCATACCCTAAAATTCAACGCGGGCCCCAGCTCTAATTTTATAAAAATTTCTTTGAAACCTGCACCTTAGAAAAAAAAAAAAAGGTTACTTCCAATAGACATTTGCAAAAAGTACAATAATTTCAATTTTATTTGTGGTAATGCCAGACTTTATAAAACCTGGGAGCTGCCAGTGAAGCAAAAAATAGAGTGAGGAAAAAAAGGAAGTCTAATGAAATGAATTTTACCAAGCGTAAACCCAAAAATGGCCCTTCATAGGATTTTAGGTCTAGAACAGAAAATATGTAAGAAATAGTAAGAATGTATTTTCAGTTATATGAGGTGTATAGCACAAAGAATATTTAGCCAAGATAATATAGAAATGCACGTGGACAATTAACTCGTTCATAATAACATATTGAAATCTCAATCTTGTTAGCCAAAGTTGCGAGGCCATTGACTTGTTAAAGAAATCTTAGTAGTGGCTTTGTCAGGGCAAGTAACCCTTACTAGTGTGATTATAAGAGCGTTTTAATGGATTGAGAGAGTGGCTCTGTAAGTCAAGTGAGTGACCCTGTGTTTAAGTGAGTTGAGATCTTTGGCAAGTTTATAATGTTGTTAGGCGATTTCTTTTAGAATCATGGTGAGAGAGTTCTATGAACATGTGAGTTCTTGGTGATCTATGCGCACAAGTTGGAGTAAAATCTAAGTGAATTTCTATGATAACTTGATATTTCATAACTTATAAAATGGTTTGTCATTATTTTGGGTGTACATTTAATTTTCTAATTTTTATAGTATCTTTGAAAGGCAATTGTAGTAGTAGTAGTAGTAGTAGTAGTAATAATAATAATAATAATAATAATAAAAGGAATAATAATATTAATAGAAATAAATAGTGAATAAAATACTTAATCATGCTAAAGTCAACAATTTAATCACAATATACTTTATGATTTAACATTTTATTGTATCTTATGCAAATGAATTATATAGGTATTTCTCGACTCCTTCAAAAAAAATTTCACCCTTAGGCTTGACACTTCCTCTATCTTGCATTCTTATGTTGGGCTAAAAAAATTTATGGGACTAACATTTCAAGAATGTTAAATTAAAGAAATAGAAAGAGAGCCCAAAGAATTGGAGAATCATCTTTTGTTACTTTCCTAGGAAGATAAAGGAGATTGATGGAAGTAGGAGTAAATAGATTGTGGTTGTAATACCTACTATAATTGATATCTTTAGGAAAGAACTTCTCAGGCTAATAGGAGCGTCTTTGTTGAGTATAAATTAATGTGAATCCACAAAGAAAACTTTTCAAGATAATTTGGCTATACTAGGTGGAGTCACCGCTCTTATAACTGAGTAAAAGAATGTAATGGCAAGTGATACTCTCCATGTTTAATTTATAATAAATTTATGTATATTTTTTAATCTTTATTTACCATGTTGATATGTGATTAACGCAATTTTAATTTTTTTAATAAATGGTGAAAAAATTAAAAATGCGTTAATCCTGAGACTATCACCATGTAACTCACAAAGTGATTGTGTGCTTGATACTAAAGAAAAAAAGCCTGAACCACAAAAGAAACACAAATATTATTATTGAATTTGAAATCAATTACAACGACTCTTCAAAACATGAAATAAAGGACAAAAAAATAAAAAGTCACAAGCCAACACCTCAAAAGTGTATTTCAAGGGCGATGGAGGTTGGCTCAATGGATCTGAAGGCTTGGGGGACTACAAGTGTGAAAGCAGCAGAGGAGCCGACACGGGTTGGAAGATGAACTAGAGGAGGGAGGCAGTATGCTAAGATGACAGGAAGGTTTGTTAGGTTGTTGGGAGGTATGTAGGAAGGTGGGGCAGCAGTGGGGAAGGCTCATCGACACATTTGGAGGGTAGGCAGCGAGCGAGGAAGCATTGAAAATGATGGTAAAGGCCTGAATAGCAAGGTAGGGTGAATGCTAGGAGGAATTATGAGTTGGTGAACAACAAGATTGGGATGTTCAGGAAGGGCAGCTGAGTGTTAGGATGGAGTATGGGGAGTCGCGACCTTGCTGGGAGAAGGTTGGCAGCAGGCTGGAGGGAGGACAAAAGCCGACGATTGATGGGGAAGAGGTGTGGTTAGACTATTATAGGTTTGGGAAGTGGGTGGACAACAGTATGAAGGGTGGAAGGATAGATAAATATCTCGTTGGGGGTCAAGCTACAGTCAAAGCACCACCTAGACCCGTGGAGACTATCATCATGTCAGACAAGGAGCATCTGAAGCACTACCTAGACGTCGAAGATAACCCTCGAAGGCAAAATTCCAAGGCTAAAACATGATTTTAGAAATAAAAAATAAGATGCTAACCTAGGCACGTGAGCTTCTATTTATAAAGAGACTCGACCTATTTTAGGAAGGATTTTAGATTTTAGAAAAGCTTTCAAAATAATAAAAGAGAATAAAAAGCATTTCAGATTTTTAGAAAGACTTTTAAATAAGGAGAGTAAAAAGAGATTTCAAATTTGAGGAACGGCTTTTAAAATAAGCAAGGAGAATAAAAAAAAATTAGATTTTAGTAAAGGGTCTTGAAATAAAGAAGGAAAATAAAATTAGAATTTTAGGTTTTAGGAAATGATTTAAAATAGGAATGTGCTTAGGAAGGAACAGTGAGGGAGACAAAAAGGAAAGGTGGGGAAGAAAAAGGGAGGAATGAAAGGGGAGGAAGGAAGGAGAAAAGGAAGAAGGGAAAGGAAGGGGCAAATGTCTCTCCGACTATTAAAGTTTTTAAGAACTGATGTCTCCACTTCATTCCAATAACAAAAACCTCATCCTGGCCTTTCATCTCTTCATGTGGAACATTTGGAGTGAGGCCTGGAAGTGTTATCGTTTGTGATTCTATCAGTTGATCGTTATTAAGACCATCCACTAAGATTTTAAGTTTTGACATCTTCTGATTTGTATGACCAACACATGTCTCAACAATAAGTTCTCCATCTTTTAAGAGAGTAGGAATCACAATCTCATCAAAAGTCGCATGTTCCTTTTGATTACATGGAGAAAAGACATCGAATGTATCCACAAATAAAGGAGTTCTCTGAGGGAAGACATCATTGGATAAAAATTCTTGTTTGAACTTTTCTTCAGTGTCTGCGATGTCCTTACCCCAAGTTTGAACAACACCGTGCTCTGTGAAATAGATCACTCCCCTGGTTATACATTCTGCTTCCACATGTGTCTGAATCTGTGGCACTTGCAATATTTTTTGGTTATGACAGAATTGCAGATTGGTTTCGACGGATAGTAGAGCGGGGGTTCTCTTAGTGATACGGTTTCTCGTCTTCGAAAGTTAGTCTGCAACTTTTGACTATAGTAAGTTGGTAGAAACTAACGCTATGTTTCTTGCCTCATCTTCATATTTAGCTATTTTTCTATTTGACCTTCCAAATCATGATTGAGGGTAACTTCTCACTAGATTTTCTATTTAATATTCATAAGCCTCTATTGAAGGTGACGAAGTTCTTGCCTTATCTCCTCTGAGGTAGGCTCGAGCATATTCCTTCTTGGAGGCATAGTTAACAATTTTGGGATACGTGGAAGGAAAGAAAGAGGGAATAAAGAAAGAAGAAAAAAATACACATGTTGATCTCATTTTTTGCGAGGCCTGTTTCTTTCTCTAGAGCCTAGGATCTAATCACAGGGCTTCTCTGTCGACTCCCTGGAGGACTAGTGTTGGGAACCGTACCATAAAAAACTCAAGCTACCTCTTAACTCCTTGTAGTCTCATATGTGTGGTTTCAAATCCGTAGCGTTTACTTGAGTCGATCGGAACCAAGATATTGAAACTCATGTTGAGTTCCTATAGGGATTGAGAATGTCATAGGAAGACCATTTGGACTTAAGAGCTTCCAATATTTGACACACCATAATCCACATAACACATATAAACACCACATAAATGTACATCACGTACATATATGTAAAACACAATTTACACATGCAATCCATTAAACAAATCAAATAAAAAGAAATCCCTCACAACACGAACTAGACCCCTTTGGCACGAGTTGAGCAACTCGCCGTTGAGAGAGTTCCGCTCGACTTTGGTCAACGCTCAGGCAAAGATCAGTTGAAATTTGGCTTGTCAGACAACTACGATTGAATCAAAAAATGTTATTTGCCGCGCTGCCCGTGAAAATGACTTAAATTGGCTCGATTGTCGACAAACTTGTCCAGATGACCTTGGATGACGAAACAAACTGCGTGAGCAGGTCTGGAACGTCAAATTTATGTAGGAAGAACAC